TGAACTCCGCAATGTCTCTCTTCATACCATTCCACCAATAATTTTCTTTGATGGTCTGGTACATCTTTGTACCCCCAAGGTGCATTGCATATAGTGAGGTATGTGCTTCACTCAGTATTTCTCTCCTAAATTTGTCATCATTAGGGACACATAGTCTATCTTAATAAAATAAGACACCATCCTCTATTAATGTAAAATCAAGTTTTCCCCATTTTGAACTTCTCTGGTCAATTTTACAAGTTTCTCATCTATTTGTTGTGCTTTATTCACCTGTTCAAGTAATATTGGCTTTACTTGCAAATTAGCAATAACTGAACCATTTGAATCAGGTGTAAAACAAAGATTCATGGCTCTTAACTCAAAGAGAAAGGGTAAAGGACTCAAAGAAATGTTTGCGAAGGATTTTTGACTTAAGGCATCTGCAACCACATTGGCTTTACCTGGATGATAATCAATCGTGCAGTCATAATCCTTGATAAGTTCAAGCCATCTACGTTGTCGAAGGTTTAGCTCCTTCTGAGTACCCAAGTACTTTAAGCTCTTGTGATCAGTGAATATATGACATTTCTCTCCATACAAATAATGCCGCCATATTTTTAAAGCAAACACTATAGCAAGTTCAACATCATGAGTAGGATAATTCAATTCATGCGGTTTTAATTTCTGAGAGGCAAAAGAAATAACCTTCCCTTCTTGCATCAAAATGCATCTAAGACCATTGTGAGAAGCATCGTTGTATACTACATACTCTTTCCCTTCAATTGGTAGAGTTAGTATAGGTGCTTGAGTCAACAAGGATTTGAGAGTTTCATAGCTTTCTTGGCGTTTGTCATTCCAATTAAACTTTACTTCATTTTGCAAGAGTTTAGTCAATGGAGAGGCGATAATGGAAAAGCCTTTCACAAATCTTCTGTAGTATCCTGCTAAGCGTAAGAAACTTCTTACCTCGATTTGACTTTTGGGAGGTCTCCATTCAACAACTGCTTGTATCTTACTAGGATCCACCTTCACGCCTTCGGCTAATACAACATGTCCCAGAAACGTTACTTCATCAAGCCAAAATTCACACTTGGAAAGTTTAGCACAAAGTTCTTTCTCCTTCAAAATTTGTAAAATAATCCGGAGGTGATTATCATGGTCTTCACTACTTCTGGAAAATAATAAATTATCATCTATAAAAACAACCACAAACTGATCAAGATAAGGCTTGAATACTCGATTCATTAGATTCATGAATACCGCAGAAGCATTTGTCAATCCGAATACATCACCAAAAATTCATAATGACCATACCGAGTTCTAAAAGTAGTTTTAGGAATATCTTTCTCTCTAACACGCAGTTGGTGATATCCAGACCTTAAATCAATCTTTGAGAATACTTTAGCACCCTTCAGTTGGTCAAACAAATCATTGATCCTTGGTAGTGGATATCTATTCTTGATTGTTATTCTGTTCAATTGGCTATAGTCAATACAAAGCCTAGGAGTTCCATCTTTCTTCTTTACGAATAAAACAGGGGCTCCTTAAGAAGAAGCACTAGGTCGAATAAAACCTTTCTCAAAAAGTTCTTGCAATTGAGATTTTGATTCTCTTAATTCTACCGAAGCCATTGTATAAGGAGTGATAGAAATAGGGGTAGATCCAGGAATAAGCTCGAATGAAAATTCAACCTCTCTTTTCGGGGGCAAACCAAGAAGGTTTTCTGGGAAGACTTCTGGGAAATCACGTACAACAAATAGTGCTATTTATCAATTCAAATTTCAGACATAGCCACTTAATTCAATGTAGATCTTGGGCACCAACAAATTTCTTGCCAAGGCCGCAGAAATAATACTAGATGTCAATGATCTTTCACCTTGTACAATTATGTGTGAAAATATCGGATCTTTAAAAGCCATATGCTTAGACCTACAATCTACCATTGCATGATATTTATAAAGCCAATCCATCCCGATAATAGTGCACCTACTTCTTGGGTGTTTTTAGGTCTTGCACCTCCATTAGTTTGAGTAGGATTAATAGAAGGATTATGAACTGAGCCTTCAGTTCTCAAGGAAGGAACATTATTAGGATTAGGATAATCCTTCACTTTATGATCAAAGCTCCCACAATTGAAACATGCACCAGAAGCTCTCCTGCAAGTACCATAATGATTCTTTCCACATTGCAGACAAGTGGGAACACGAGGCTTGCCTTGGCCATAATTTGGAGTGCTAGCTATAGAAAATTCTGAACTGTTTGCTTTTGCTGGGGTGGTCTGTTAACACTACTAGCCTTAGAATCATCAAACCTTCCCCTTTTGGATAGACCTCCAAAATCTGGTCTAGGCTTTCGAAATTTGTTTTCATTTCGACTAGCTTCTTCTTTATCAAGTTGCTCCCAAGTAAATGCAGCAGACACTAACTTACAAAAGTTCTCATTTGCAGGATCGCCACATTCTTCCTAATGGAATCATTTAAACCATTTTCAAATCTGCTGCACTTGTCTTTTTCCTCTTTGATAATACCTCCAGCATAACGAGAGAGCCTTAGAAACTTTTGTTGGTACTCGTCTATAGACATGCCTCGTTGCCTTAAATTCAAGAACTCATTTCTCTTTGCATCACAATAAACAGGTGTGACATACTTCATACGAAATTCCTTAAGAGAATCATCCCAAGTAAGAACAGCAGGTTTTACCTTGGCATTCAGAACACTTATCCACCAATCATAAGCATCCTTTTGTAATAG